GCTCGACGGACGGCCAACAAGCAGCAGCCGCTATTTACCGAAAGTTATCGAAGCGCGAGAGACGGAGAATTAAAGGAAACCCAAGTAGGATGAGAACTGATGGCGGCGCGGCTTTCGGCTCTCGCTCTTGCTCTCTCCTTCGATCCGGCTGCCAGCGGATATCTGTCTAGCTATATACAGCAGCCGGAGCGCCTAATTACTAATAAGTTTTCCACGCGAAATGAGGTGAGGAAAAGAGAGGGTTAATTCAAAAGTACGAGCCGAGCCGAGCCCACCCCTGATCCGCCGACGATAAAGACGAACGAGCGGCGAGCGCAGCCGGGGCGGAGGGTAAGAAGCCTCGAAAACGCAGTTAAAGATTTGCGATGTCTTTCGATTCCCGTCCGAGATACTCCTAATTACTGTTTGCCTTTCTCTCGGCTCAGCTGCCATTTATTCTTTCCAAGTTGGCTGGCTGGCTGGCTGGCTCCCCTTTCGCGCAGCCAGCGCGCCGGCGCGGCGGACTTTTTCGCGCGGCGCATCATCGGCCGGCCGCGTCGATGACGGATGGCTGATGGCCCGCGACGACCTGCTTCTGGCTGGCGCGCGATAATTGTAACGAACGCCCGGAGAGCGCGCGAGCCCATCTGCGCCCGGGCGCGCAGTCGCTCTTTTCTTCCTTTCCTTCGCCGCGCTTTGCTTTCCAAAGTGCGACCCCTCCGCCCGCAAGCGCGAACTGCGCGCCGCGCTGCTCGAGCACCAAACTTGTACGAATTGATTTAAGTGCTGAATGCTAAATCAACGGAACACGCGGCGGGGGGAGCAGCACCGACAGCTCGGCCAGATTTACGAGTCGCGGCTGCGTCCTTCAGACTCCGGCCGTCGCCGCGAGCTCGCCAGGCCCTGTGGCTCCGGTCGATCGGCGGAGCCGCCGCCGCGAACCCGGCGAACGTCGTCGCGCGCTCTCGCAGCCGCCAGCCCGGAGTCTAATTGAAGCGGACTCCGCGCGCTCGTCTGCCACTCGGGGACTGACGGGCGAGCTTGCGGATTGAACGGCTGCAATCAGCGCCTCGATCTCGCGCAGCTTTTCGCTGCCTCTCGCTCGTTTCCCGTTCCCCTCCCCGTTCTCCTTGTCGAGGACGCCTTCGGCTCGGCAAATTCAAATCAGTTTGATTTATTTATTTGCCGCAGGAAACAAAGCGGAGGTACGAAAATTGAAATTCAGCGAAACAAGTTTCGAAATCTTTCAAAATAAAAGATCCAAGTCATGCCCATTGTCAGTAGATTCCCATCAAGCGCGAGCCTGGAAAGTTTCGAGCTGAACCAGATTTCACCGACGGCGGCGTGGCGCATGAAATTCACCGGTAAGCAGCTGCTCTAAGTAACGTCAATTATTGCCACTTCTTTGTGAAGCGGCTGACACAGAAAAAGCGAAAGAGTCAAAGCAAAGGAATATCCAGGAGAGGTGGAGAGAAAAATCCGCCCGTCACATCGTAAACCATCACGTGCGATCTAGTATTTTGTGCGCTCTCTAATTATAAATTCCGTTCGTCGCGCGCACGTCTACGTACACGATATCGCGTCGAATATGAGCGGCCATCTAGACACGCAGTGTCGAGCCCCCTCCCTCTTGAGGTGAGCTGCTTTCCAAAGCAGCGGATTCGAGGAACCTACTGCTTCGAATCGACTTTCGAAAATTTTCGGGACACATGCGCCACGATTTTTCGTGTCACGTAGAGGCGATTCTCTTGCCCGTCGAATTATGCCTCGGAACTTTATTAAATTAAAATACTTCTAGGAAAGCCTGCTCTCTCTCTCTCTCTCTCTCTCTCTCTCTCTCTCACGCACACAGAAACGTATCGGTTATTTCCTCGTAAAGTTGGGCAAACAGGAATTTATTTACGTGACATGTCGATTAATTGGCGTCGCGCGAGTGGAAAGCAGCCAAAGCCAATCGAGGCTCGACGTGATTACAAGTCTGTCGAGTAAGGACGCACCGCGAGCGTTGGTCAATTGGAAATATTGCCAGCTAAGAATACGAACGAAACGGAGGCGCGCGCATCTGCGACTCGTCGCCCGTCCCCTTTCCCTCGTTGCCCGTTTGTCGCGCGGTGGCGGATTTCTTTTTCGGCGGAAAGATGCTATCGGACTTTCGGGAACGACGCGAGCGCGTGCACTGCACTCCGCCTGTGAGAACCGCGGCCAGCTCCAGTGGGCCTCGTGTGATTGTCGTCTTTTAATTATCAAAAGCATCGCGCCACCGGAGAACCGGAGGACGGCGGATAAGCTGGCGTTCCAGAAATAGAAATTGGCGCTTGGAAGGGCCGCGGCCGGTGGAGACATGTGTCGAAAATTGTTTGAATCAGCAGTGAGCCGTTTGCGAGATCGTATCGCATTTGCAGTTATAAAGCCATTAATCGCGCATCAGGCAGGATTGTCCCAATTGAGAAAGCGATAATGAATTCGGAGTAGGGCGGGCACGCGAAAAGGCGAAAAGGCGAAAAAACGAGTGGGCGGCGACGTCGTCGCGGTGCGAGCTCGGCAGCGCGAGCCGCTGTCCAGCTTCCGGGCGCAAAGGGCGCTCCGATACGAATGGACGCGAGAATAGGCTTGGGCAGGCGAGCGACGCAGCCGTAAAATCAATGCGTAACGAGTCGCGCGCTCGCGCTGCCTCGTGAAAAAGATGCTGAACGGCCACAGATTCTCGGGCTTGATAGCTACGATCAGCCGTAAACTGGAGCGAATGACTGCAGCGACACCGCGCCGCGACGACGATTGCGATTAATTAATTTCAGTCCGCCGAGACACTTAGTTTCCGTTCGTTTAAGCTCGTTAATACCTCGGCCAAAGGAGAGAAAGAGCGAGTCGCGCGTGCCCCCACCACACCCGCGCCATCTCAGCATCTCCGACTGCGACGCTGCCTCCGTCGCGCCGGCAGTTTTTTCTGCGCATTGTATATAGCCGCAGCCGCGCCGCTTCTCGCCGCTTCTCGCCGCTTCTCGGAATCGTCAATTTTCGACGGCCCGGCAAAAACCAAGTGCCAAGCGTTTAGCGATAAATAAAGAGGGCGCGACGTCGACGAATGCGTGGAACAGGAGCGCCGCGGACGGCCTTTGGCCCTCGACGGGACGGGACGCGGACCGGTCGCGCGCCAGCCCAACGCGAGGCCCTGTTCCGTCGCGCCCCGCAGCACGCCGCTAATGGCATTAAGAAGTCGCGAAACCGTGGGAAGTCGGCTGGCGCGGGGGTCAACTGGCGCGAAGTCGCGCTGCGACGCTCCTCGTAAAAGTGTCCGCTGCGCCCGGTCGACGATCATCGTTGAGATTAAGGAAACGAGCCTCCGAGCGGACTGGACTGGACTGGACGCGCGAGCGTCTCGGCGATGATTCACGCGGGCCGGCTGCTCGGCTGTTCGGCTGCACGGTAGCTCGGAGCGGCCCGATCGGCCGATTGGCATTCATTGATTCGCGTCGTCGGCGCCCGTGCACTCGGTCCCCCATGCCGCCTCGTTTTTTAGTCGATGTGGCCCTGCCGGAGAAACTACTCTCCTTGGGAATAACGTCAACAAAGTTTATGGCGCTACAAATCTTGCCTAACTATGGCGGTTTGTGCATCTTGTTCGATCGTAAAACGTCGAAGTTTCAATTTTTTTAAGATTCGCCTATAATTTTTAACGTGTTTTATAGCGCATAAATTGCCGTCCTTGTTTACCCCATTAATTGTGCTAATTTCGATTTTAACTGCTCATTTGTGACTTTGCGAGGTTCGAATAAAAATCGAACGCCCACGGATCCATAAATTTGCGCGTGCTCGCAGAAGCGATGGCTGGCGCTCGCAGACCGAAAAATGCTCGATTCGAGCGCACTCGCCGAAAGAGCCAACCTAATTTATCGTCGAGGATCCGATGCGCAGAAATAACATGAAAATTGATTGCGCAACGCTCGCGCTCGCTCGCTTCGAGATATTCAGCCCGGGATGTAAAATTAATAGCGATCTAGTTTTCTAAATTGCGGAGAATGCGGCAATTGCCAGTCGTTGGAGAGCGCGAGTACGCGCGCAGATGCGGATATGGCGCGTCCGCGTCCGTGTGTGCGCGTATATGAAATGTCATATCTTCGGCGCGGAGAAACGCGGCCACACAGAGGAAGGATCAGCAGAGGCTGAAAATAACAGCCGGCAGAACAAATGCCATTGCCGAGCTGCGGCCCTCATCGCATTATTGTTTGCCTTCAATTAAGCTTCTATTTTACGTAATATACCGCGATCCCGGTCGCTTACGCGCCGCGCTTGGCCGGGCTATTTCTCATTTATGCGAAAAGCTCGAAGCTCAAGTGCGCGCGGACTCGGCCCAGGGTTGGGTTGGGTTGGGCCACGCCAACGCTTCGATCGGTCTTCGTTTGCGCTCGGGCTGTGCCAAGTCAAGCAAAAAAACCAAGGAAAAGGGAAAAACTGAAAAACCGCGCAAGTCGGACGAAATTGTCGAGCCGCGGGGCGCACTCGACGCGAAAAATGCGAATAATACGCCGCGAGCTCATTTAGCGACGCGTATCTCCTGCGCGGAAATCTTCTTTACGCTAATTGCAAGTTTTGCGCTCCAATAGCATCACGTCGTTTTTCATATCGCGCTTCGCTCGCGCGTTATATGGCCGTGCGTCGTGCTCTCGGCGGCCGCAGGCTTTTTGCTTTTTCACGCTCATTGATGCCGACCGCGGTGTCGGGTAATTGGTTAGCGCGCGGCAAAAAAACAGCCGCGGCCGCGCACGAGAGCCGCCATAAAACAATAAATACCGAGCCGAGCCGAGCCGAGCCGAGCCGAGCCGTCCTGGCCGCGTCTCGCGGTTTCGCGCGGTTTCGCGCGGCCGCGCCGTCCGAGACTCGCTTCGTCCGAGCAATCGATTTCACTGGAGCTCATTTCCTGAAAACTTGCGGCTCCGCGGACGGCCTTGTCAAACGGGACGCCCACCAAGTCGGACGTTTCATTAATCCAAGCGCTCCAGATGCTCCGAGTGGCTTTGTCTCGATTTCGCTTTCGCGCCGACTATTACCAGCCTGCCAAAGTGCTGGCTTGTTTGCGCGCGAGCAGTGAATTACGGCCTCTGCGCAGCTACGTCTTTTCGCGCAGCTCTTTCGACAAACGCCTCTTGACCAGTGAAATCGTGCTGATAAAATGCCTTCGAGATAACGCTATCTCGATAGATCAATAGCGCAGAGCTTATCAGCAGAAGTCGAACGACTTTTCGTCGCGCAGTCGCTCTTCGCGGTTAACAACGTCTGGCCGTCGTCAGACATGAACGTCCAAGACAAAGTCGTCATTATAACCGGGGGTATTGGCGGGATGGGCTTTGAGAGCGCCAAGTCTCTCTTGAGCAACCGTGCAAAGGTAAAGAGTCCGTTTGAGATTAAAGATTCCTCTCGCGTTCTGCGACTAATAACCGCTGTGACCTCCAGTTCGTTGCAATATTCGATCTGGCCGAGTCGAGCGGCGCAGATGCGGCAATGGCGGAGCTGGAAAACGCTTTTGGAGGCGATCGCGTTCGCTTCTACCCGGGAGACATTGCCGTGGACGCAGAGCTGGAAGGTACTCGATCTATCGTTCGAAGCTAGAGGTAAGCGACGATGACATTCACCTCTTTCAAGGTAATTTCAAAAGAGTGATTCGAGAGCAAGGATACATCGATATCCTCGTGAACAACGCTGGCCTAGCAGACGAACGAAACATACAGCGGCTCGTCGATGTCAATGTGGTGAGCTTATCGTTCGGTTTATTTTCTATGGAGCGGTATCTATTAGCGAAGGAGCGGTATTAATTTTACGAATATTACTAGAAAGCTGTATTAAACTGCAGCTTACTAGCCATAACGTATATGGGCAAGCATAAAGGCGGCAAAGGGGGACTAATTGTCAATGTTAATGCTATACTGGGCCTCACAGACTGTCCTCTGTTGCCATTCTACAGCGCAACCAAGCACGCCATCGTCGGCTTTACAAGATGCATGAAGGTGAGCCGCGTATTTTCCGCGCGAATTTTTTCTTTGTTCTTCGAGGCTCGCACTGGCCGTCACGTTGTTTGCTCGTGGCAGGAAAATTTCGGCACGACTGGCGTTCGAGTGGTGTCCCTGTGTCCCGGTGTGACGAAAACTAACCTCATCAAGCACGTGCCGAATCACTTGTTGGATTTCATTTCCGATAGTATCAAGGAAAAAGTTCTCACCGAAGTGCCCGTTCAGTCGTGAGTATACGCCTGCGAACGTGGCGGAACGCGGAGCACGGAGCGCAGTGGCCTTTCATTCTCTTGATTTTCTCGTGTTTCTAGACCAAAGAGTGTCGCTTCGGCGCTTATCGAGATAATAGCTAAGGCGGAGAGCGGGGCTGTGTGGGTCGTTGAGAACGACAACAAACCTTTTGCTGTGAAACCTGCGGACCATTACGTACGGATGACTGCCCCGATCGACAAGTGACTCTATCTCTGTAATCTATCGAAGCATCACCGCGCGTCCGCAGATCGCGAGCGTAGGCTCATCGATCAATAAACCAACTGAAAATTAGCTTTCCCAAAGAAGTCTACTCATTTGTACGATAATGCAATTGGTGCGAGCGGCGTGGCCGTCCTGAAATGCAGCCGAGGCACGGGAATGCATTTTACAGATGCAACTTGTTTTATGTCGCCGAACGATCTACGGTTTGAACACTGGAGTAGAGCTCGTAAGGTGGAATCCCGTGCAATTAAAGAGCTTACCGCTTGCATATCTTCGAATCGAATGCTGCCATTAAGAGATTGTATATATCGGACGATGGTGGCAATAAAAGCATCCTTACAGGTAAGCAGCCTATCGGACAGTTCGTCGAACCTCACCAGTAGTTTCCAGATAAAAATGAGATATGTTCTCATACAGGAATCAATCTGACAAGCAGCTCGACTGTCGTAAAAGTAATTTTACGATGATTCCGAATGCTCGAATGCTCGTTACAATGCAAACTTTCAAATACACTGACACTCGTGGGACGCTGCGCAGCGGTAATGGTGTATATTATAGCTCAGTTTTTTCCTAAACGCTGGAAAGGGGGGTATCCGAATCGACCGTAAAATATTTTTCGCCCGGCCGCGAGGGGGAAGAGGGATCCGAGAGCTGGTCGATTTTATTATTTTATGGCTCCTTTTACGAAGCTGTCGATTAGATTGCTCTCGTATAAGCCCTAAGTTACACGCAGCAGCCTTCGCGTCCGGCCGAAAGAATCTCACGTTTTATGCTTTACAACCTCCCGTGAGGATTCGATTGATTTTTTCCTTCTCCCCGGCTTTACTGAATCTCCATCAGCGATCGCTCGAATGGCCTCTTGTAAATAAGTTTTTACTGCTGCCGAGCAGGACTTGGGCGATAGCGCGGATAATTAGCGGTGGGGGCGAAAAATCGATGCTCGCCGCTGGAGATTGATGCATCTGGGCGAAAAGGCTGAGAAACGAGGCCAACGAGCGAAACAAAAAGACGCAATAAGGAGGGCGGCCGCGAGGGCGAAGGAGTTCAATTTTTCAGCTCGGCCGAGCTGGTGCCGGGCTCGCGGACGCACGGGGCCGCCGCGCCGCGAGACGAATGGTCTTGTTGCCGGCGGTGCGTGGGCGCGTTTCGGCAACGACCAATCATCCCGGACAGACGCGTCGTTCGCCGCTCCCATCGGGGTGCGCGCTCTCTCTCTCTCTCTCGTTCGATCCGCCGTCCCGTCCGGTGGCCGCCGCCGAGTCGGGCCGATCGCGCGCGGCGTTCGGTGGGTGGCGGCGGCGGCTCGGCTCGCGCACCAATTGCCTCGTTATCCGGCGCGGCAGCGCGGCCGAGTTGGCGCTGCTCCGCGTACGCGTGACTCGCGACTCCGCGCCTGGTCCGCGCGGGCTGCGTGCGCGCACGGACCAATCTGTTCGGCGCCGCCGCTCGGCCGCGCACGCACAGTCGCGGCAGCAGTCTGCCGGACATTGTGCGCGCAGCCGCTGACGCACAACGGGTATCGGGCCCGAGCGGAAACTTGGCCGAGCGCTCGCGCCGCGGCTGTTGGTCAACGACTTGGCGCGCGGCTCGGACTCGCGCCTACGCGTTATCGCTGATCGCGATAATACAGACATCCGTGCGCCGCAATTTTTCCCCGGCGCAATTGCGGCTGCTTTCCGCGCGACTTTACGAGAGAATAAAGTCGGAATTTATCAATTATCTCATTGGCAATAAGTGTCGGCGTCATAATGATCGCTCGCAAAGCGTCGCGCATACGGAGACGTAGCTCGCTTCAATTCATCATTCTCAATTCTGGTAAACAGCTGCGCCTGCAAATTATTCAGGCCCAGGCGCAGCACACGGCGCGTCGCCGCTGCCGCGCCGGCGTGAGCTGCCGGCAAATTAGCCAATTGAGGGCTTCGAGTATCCGCGGATATCTGATTACACTGACGCAGTCGGGGAGTCGCGCACGTGCGCGGATCTTTGGATCATCGCCGTGCGGCCTTCGCCGTCGATTTCTCGCTCGTTAATCCTCGCATCCGTCGATTGGCCAGCTTCTCGCGCGAGAGCCAGCAGCCGCGTTCTCCGATGATAATAGGACGAGGCTCGATTGGCGCGCGGAAAAAGCTCGGGCCGGCGAGCGTTTCTAGGCTGCGTCGGAATAGAGCGCTCGGCGCGGCTGCGATGCAAAACCGGTGTGCAAGCAAATTTATATTCTCGCGCGTAAAAGTCAAAGAGAGCTGGAGCGCGTCCGGCCGTGTCATTACTCCCTTTCACGATGCTCGTTAGCGCGCTCGCGCATAAACGACTTGGATATCCTAATAAGCGGAGCTGCCGGCGGCGCGCAGGTAGCCTCGAAAAACGACTTGTCGCCCGCTGCCAAAGCGCCAACACTTTCTCACGCGCGTGCCGTGCGCGCCGGTTCAGCTTTCGCGCTTATTCTTTTCGCTCGCCTAGTGCTGCTTATTATTATTGTTATTACTATTAGAGAGCGGCCGCCTCGCGATTATCTTGCTCGCGTTCGGGGAAGAGGCAGCTGGCGACGCTTACGACGCCTCGGCCGCCTCTCGCCTAACGATAATCGCACGACTGGCGGACGGACGACTTGATCAAATCGGCGACTGACGAGTCGGCTGCAAGAGGAGCTGCCTTCGCGCGATCGTTAGCGACGAGACGCGGCGGCGGCGGCGGCGGCGGTGGCGCGGCGAGGCAGCCGCTGGAAAGACGCAGGCTCGGGCGATCGCCGCGGCGGCGACAGCGCGGCCGCGAGGGCGCCGGGATCGATCGGCGCGATCGCGCTCCAGTTGCATTTCGGCGAAGCGTCTTGCGACGCGGACGTCGCCGGCTCGCCGTGGCGTGCGCAAATCGGGCAGCCGAGCTTGCGAAGGCTGTCGTCGTGGTCGTCGCGGCCGTCGCCGTCGCGGCCGCCGACGCCCGTCGAGCTCGCCAAAGCGGGCTGTCCCGTAATGCGTCGTAACTGCGAGCCCGAGCTGCCACTCGAGGCGCGTCTTGGCCGCGCGTTATGACCGGCTGCTCGCGGGATTTCCCCGAAAGTGCGCCCGCAGCCGCGCTCGTTAGCGCTACTTCTAAAACCGAGCATTATTGTCTTTGCAGCGGCGCGCACGAGGTTAACGGACCGATTGCTCGCGCGGCGGCGCGGCGGCGCGGCGCATCTCCAGCGAGGAAAGGGCTGGCATTAGCGCGCGAGCGTACAATAACAGTAGCGGCGCAGATAAGCGGAGCGGGGGCCCGCGCCGCGCGCTGCTATCGCAGCCCCGGAGAGAACTAGTAAGTCACGTCGATTAAGGAGCGGAGAGACGCGCGGCGCTCGTGCGACTGAGCGCGAGCGCGAATAAAAAAGCCACGAGGCTGGCGTCTGGTTCCCAGCCCACTTCGGACAAAAGCGCGGCGATGCGCGACGAGCGACGAGCGACGAGCGCCGAGCGACGAGCGACGAGCGACGAGCGACGAGCGAGACCCGAGCGCGGAATAAAACATTTCTCACAGATCAAAGCGAGCATATACGCGCGTGAATTATAGAGCGAGCGCCGTTGCGCTGCGCCGAGACGCGGCGAAAAAACCGTTAAGCGGGATCGTCGCGTCGTCATCGTCGCCGGTTCCGCGGGCTGCCGCGGCGCGCGGCCTATAATAATCGCTCGCGCCAGGAAAGTGTATCGAGAAAAAGAAATTGAGCGGCTGGAGAAAATTAGGGAGAGAGAGAGAGAGAGAGAGAGAGAGAGGAGACTCGGCGAGCAAGAGCCAAGAAAAAGCAGCGGCGCGCAGTGTGTCGAGTGAGTGGCGGCTAGGCATAATCGTGACGGACGCGATAATCGCCGAGCGCGTTACTAAAGCCCGCAAATCTTCGTCTCCGTGGTGCGCAAAGTGTATTTATGAAATCGCTTTCTCAGCTTGGCGGCCTTTCTCACGCGCTGCCGACAGTCGAGCGTAATACGCCGCGGCGTCCATCGCGCGCCTATAGGCCGCCGTTCCGGGCCGGCCCGTCGAGAAAACTCCTCGTTTTCTATTTTCCGCCGGATAATTGCCCCGAGGAAAGTCGCGTTGCAGGTGCGCGCGAACGGAGCCCGAGCGGCCCTCGTCGTCGCCGAGAGCTGCTCATTAGGCTATTAATAAGCGCCGCCGACACGGCCGCGGAGCGAACAGCCAATCGTCGCGCGGACCGTCGGACGGGCCGAAGGGCGCGGTATCCGATTACCGGCCGGTGCACTCGCTGACACGCGCCCCTCGCGGCCTCCCGCTGCCCCCCCTCCCGCTGCCCCCCGCTGCCCCCCGCTGCCCCGCGCGATTATCGCGGCCGCGGATCTCGGTCCCTTTTTCGCGGACCTGCCCCCGACGCCGCTTCGCGGAATCTCGACGATCGCGCGACTGATTTACGCGAATCATTCCGCGAGAGCTGCCTCGCCGCTTTTCGCCGCAGCGCGCGCGCCTCATTTTCCCACATTTGCATATTCTCGCACCTGCGAAGCAGCGAGTGCGGCTGCGAGATAGCGAAGCAGCCCGCGAGACTGACGTAACAATAAACACGAGCGAGTGCAGATAAGGCGGAGAAAAAGCGGACGATTGTCTCGACGTAATTGGCCCGGCTGAAGCGCGCCGACTGTGGCGCGCGTCTTCTTCCTGTTGGCTGGCGCGGCGATAAATCGGCAAAGGCGCGCTATCGATAAGCGCGGCGGCGCACTAACGAGGCCAGCCAGGTCGCGACTAGTTAAGCAGTTCGCAGGCCCGGGCCGAAACCGTCGAGGCGCGGGCTCGCGGAATCGCTAATCGTCCAGGCGCATCAACTGCTCTCGCTCGCGCCTTCTCGCCTCGGATCGGCGAGAGCCAGTCGTTAATTTTTTACAGCCCCAGGCCGAGCTGCGCTCAAGGTGAGCCAACTGCAGCGTGAAGTTCAAGCAACTGCTCGATAGCGCTGCTCGTGTGTAGTTGCGCGGGATTATCGTCAGACATGGGCGCTCTTCTTCGGCGCAGCGGCGTCACGAGCCAGTGGCTCCGCCTGCGATTCGAGCCGCGCTCTGGATTAATAATCATCGCGCCGCGGCGTTGGAACGAATAA